CCCGGTGCTTTGTCCCTGAAGGCTGCCCCGCTCGTCCGCCTTGCCTGGCAGTGCCCAGCGACGGGAAGGACGGCGATGTTCGGCTGGAAAATCTGTTGCAGAGCAGAGGCAGAGCAAACCAAGAACCACCAACCGCAGTGTACAGCTATGCTGTAAAACGTGTGTGTATGTACAGATGTGTGCGTCTATGTGTGCGTCTATGTGTGTGTCTATGTGTGTGTGTGCATATATATAAAAAAAAACTCAACAAAAAACAAAAAACCCACCCCAAAACAACAACAACAACAACAAAAAACCCCGTCCTGGTCTTTTATTTGCTACTAAATACTTCCATGGAAAAAGCAACCCTGTGACCTCAAGGCGAGCAATGAGAAAGAGGAAACTAAATTCATGACATTGAAAGCTAGCTACATCACTGGCTTCTGTGGTCTCACAGTCAGTATTTTACAACTTTGTTTCTTTTGTTGCACCTTTTTTTCTAAATGTCATTAAGCCTGTTTTTAAGCACAGAAGAAATCAGTGGAAATTAACCTTCATCGGTCTCACCTATTGCGGAAAGCCACCCACTCAACCTCCTGGGGGAGTTTCAGGTTATTAGAAGCTAAATGTTACATTCAGCTATTTGACATACCGCTGTCTCCATGTTCCTCCCACACACTGAGTAAAAAGGTTAACTCTTACTGGTTTTGTGTGTTATGTGTTTTTGCTTCTGTGACAGATACTATGAGTGGGCTGTCAAGTGGAAAGAAGAAAAGACTCCCTGAACTTTTAAGTGTTCATTTCACAGTATTTTAGCTCTTCTGAGGATCTCAACCCTTTTTTGAGATATGCAAAGACAACACAAGTGGGTGAACTTACACTGAAACATATGCTTAAAGCTGTATTTTGTGCTGTTGACCAGGTTATCCCACTACAACCTGCGAGTTAATGTGAGTACATTTCTTTGGCTTCTAATACTTGTGTTTTTTCCTGTATTCTTGAATGACTTCTAGAATCAAGAAAAAGAAAAAGGCAGTGCTATTTATTTTCTGCTAAGCTAATGCATAGGCTTAACAACTGTTCTTGCACTACACAGTGGCAAGGCAAGGGACCTTCATTGTGCTCAAATCTTGGGGAGAGAGTATCTGTTCCTACCAGAGATGGGTAGGCAACGCTTTTCCTGCTGTTCCTACTTACGACCTTTGCAGGCTTCAGTAAGTCGTGTAGAGATTTCTGGTCGTGGTTAGCAGCCGATTGGCACCGCTTGAGATTAGTACTGTAGGGAGCCTGAGTTTGTGTAGATGGATGGCTTCCTACTACTGCTGTTCTGAGGACTGTTGCTCACCTGTAGCCTTGATCAGATGGCATGTTTCTTAAAATGCTGTGGCATTTCATGTACTAATTTTCCCAACATTTCTGTCTCTGGTTACAGTGAACCGCTGTTAGCAATAGAGAATTTTCCCTAGTGGGGAATTTTCCAACAATGGGGAAGTTTCCTAAAGAAGTAGGTGGAGTTACATCAACATTTAAGTTCTGTCACAAGAAGTCTTTGGGCAAACAGTTCTGTTTTTCCTGTCTTCTTCTTTTGATTGTGAGGGAAACATATGGCAGCAATACTGAAGAGCATTTTGCAAGTGAATATCTTTTTGCTTTTGTAAAACTGTGTTTGCCATAGATGTCAGAAGCTTAGGAGGAGAGAAGGGGCATCAGGGTAGGTTCTATAAGAAAGGCAGTGAGAAGATTGAAGTTTTGGTAAAGATCTTTGATTGGCATCTAGGTCTCGAGCTGCTTTAGCTCATCCAGCCAGGAGATCCTTCTGCTCAAGGTGAAACAGAAGAAAGGTCTATAACTGTTACTGCAGCGGGATTTTTCATGCCCATCTGGATTTGACCTCGACCTGCTTTTTTTTTTCTCTCTGAAAGTGAAAAATTGAGTACAGCAGCAGACTTTCTCAGCCTTGAGGAATTTTGTAAGTAATAGTCATACTTTTTTTGTGTGTAGTAAGGCTTGTTTTCCTCTACAGTGGGAGAAAGCATGCAAACTAATGTTCAGCAATTGCAAGATACAAGCATGGGTCTTAGAACTGTAAAAGCTTACTTGTAGTCATCCATCTTCCAGGAGTTAATCGGAACACCTCTCCTGGAGTTCACACTGACGTTCAGATTTCCTGACAAAAAAGTGGGAATGGGTTGCATGCGTGGGTCTGGGTATCTTTCTGTGACTGTAGCACTCATGCTATTAGTTCTGAGCAGTCTCTCAGCTACAGCCTCTACTTAAAAAAATTAGGAAGTGTTCCGAGGCTGTGTGTGCTACAGCTCTGGTCATTCAGTCATGGGGAGCACAGAGAGGTGTACACCTACACCTGCCTGTCTCAGTGGATCACTATTCTGCGGGATTGCCTCTAGAGTAAGTGTGATCAGAGCACATTTGTGAGGTCGGTACGCCTCTCTCTTGTTTGAGGGGCTTTGCTCTGGGGCTTAGTTGGTGCTCTGGACTGCTTGTAACTCAGGCGGTGGCATCGTGATGGAGGCACTGTCATCTGCACGCATCATCAGAAACACTTAGGTACCTACAGGATTAGGCAGCAGTTAGGTGGTGCTTTTAAGAACATCATTTGTGGCTAAGGAATTAATTTGGTGCCTAACCGCGTTAAGAAGCCTGGGATTTGTTTGTCAATTAAATGGATCTTTCACCCACCCTGAACATCTTATTTGTATTTTCCTATCCCTGTTCGCAGAACACCCTTTTGTAATTGCTCATGCCTGCCTAATAATATATTAGATTGACGCCCTTTATCAGCTCCATCTGTGTTGTCTTCTGCAAACCCTCTATTGGGACTGTGCAGCAGCAACGCGAGGAATATAGTGGACTGAATCGAATTCTTATGAGGAGCCTGATTCCCTCAAGCCACAACACTGCTAAGGCACAGGTCTCATGGTTCAGGACAATATTGTTACTTGGTCGTCATCTGAAAGTTGGCAACCAGAAAGACAAAATGTCTTACAAAAATGGTTAAGAGTCACAGTTTATGTCTGTTTAGGTATCTAAAACGAGGACTTAATTTAGATAAAATTCTACAGTTCTCTGTACTCACGAAAGACTTCCATTACAGTGAGTTTGAATTTTTATTGAGATTAATTTGAAAAACGATGGCAGTGTTTGATGCTAGTATTGCTGTGGCTTAGAATACGCACTTAGGAAGTGTGGTGGGTGTGTGAAGGTTGAGTGAATGAATTGACATTAATCAGTGTTTTATACTGTTAAGGTGTTGCGTAGGAGTATGAAAGCTGTGTCTGTAAAGAGGGGAAAAACTTCTGACAGAAAATTGAAATAGTTTACGTGTTCAGAGGTAAAGCAACTGAAATAGAAGAAAATAGATTTCGTTTTCAGGCTGACTGCTTTTGTCCCTGTTTTACCAAGGCACTATTGTGTAAATAGTTGTCGAGTGATTAATTGCCACGTGAACTCCGTTCGCCATGTATGTACCTTCATGAGCCCCACTGTAAGTGCTGTGAGACCAGGTGTTACGAAACAGTACGATCACAGCGTGTTAAAGTAAGGTGTGGAAGGACAAAGCTCTATTTCTGCCACTGAGCAGATATAGAAAACTCCTCCATTCTCCTCCTAGCAGGAGCAACGCTCCCTGCTACAGTTTAGGGGAACAATCGGGTATTTGTAAGTATTTATTTACTAATTGACGGATATAAAGAGATATATAAAGCATACATTTTGGATAAGCAAGGACAGATGTTTAAAACAAATAAAATTAGATGTTCTTCCTGGACTCATGCAGGAAGCTTTCTGCCTGATCATCTACTGTAGTTAGAAGTGCAAATTTGTCATGTTTTTAGCTAGAGTGGAGTTCAGTGTCTTCTGTCCAGTTCTTCATGTGGGGTGACTACAAAGTGTACTTTATAGCGCAAGTTAGAAAATGAGCAGATATTGATATTTGTCTATTATTTTGTCATTTTAGGTTCTATCTACATCATGGAAAAGCCTTTGCTTTTGTATATATTTATATTCTACTGGCATTTCCTCAATGGTAAGAAGCTGAGGCATAAGAAGTAGAAGAACTAAGTATGTTTCCTCTCTATGTATAAGCACAAAAAAGCTAATTCTTCAGTTTTCCTGAGGTGCTAGCATGTGGGGTTTTTCCCTTGATGTTTTAAATAAAAAGGTCTTAACATGCTTTTATGTTAAACTAGATATCTGTGCTTAATATGTGTGCTTTGGTAGTGGGCCAGGTTGAAATCCCTGTCAGTGTTCCAGCATAGACACCGTGTCAGACAAGGTACCGTTTGGGTTAAACAAAAGACTTTATTGGCACAGTCAAACCTGGGAATTGTCATGTGTTCTTTAACATTGTGTGTAAAAAACATTGACGTTTATATAAACAGAACGTTCTCATCCGAGGCAGTGACAATTGCCTGTTACCCTGGCAGTGTTCTGAAAGCAACAGCTGAGGGGCTGTGCACACACATTTGCCTGTTTTTAGTAGAGCATCACACTGCATGTCTGCTCAACGCAGGTGTTTGCAGGTATAAATAGCCCAGTTTGTCCCGATCTTGGGCAAGTGCGTGCAAAACTTTTTAACTCCTCTGAGCAGGGCAGATGCTTTTGGTCCTTAAAAAATGTCCTGTGTGTATGGTAAAATATGACTTCACAGGTTAGGCTTAAAATTGGAAAATTAAGTTTTCTTCCAAATTTTGTTTTTCAGCTCTATTCACGGTTGAAGCTCCCCAGTCACTCTACATTGTGGAACACGGGAACAATGTGACCATGGAATGCACGTTTCCAGTGAACGGGAAATTAAAGTTTAGAGATTTAAGTGTCAGCTGGGAAAAGAAAGATAAGTTAAAGAAGCAGATTTATGTACTTGTCAAAGGAGAGGAAGATTTCAAAAGTCAGCACAGTGACTTCAAGGGAAGAATAAAATTGTTGAAAGAGAAGCTGACCTTGGGACGGTCTCTCCTTCATATCTCCGATGTCAGGCTCATGGACGCGGGGGTTTACCGCTGTGTTATCGACTACGGAGGAGCCGATTACAAGATGATCAATCTGCAAGTTCAGGGTGAGGGTGCTGCTGCAGGAGGTTCAGTGCTATCTGATACTGTTAAGAGATTTCAGAGGAGTCCCTGAAGTAGGACGTGTCAGATTTAGCACTTAAAGGAACATCTCCAGAGACAGGAGCCGCCTCACGGGAGTTGCGCAGCTGTGTGACTTCGTTTTTCTGTCTGGGCTGAATCCCTGTTCTGTCCTTTATTTCCCATAATGACGTATGAGGAATAGCGTTGTGAAAGCCATTTAGACAGGACAAAGACCAGAAGGCTACCACATTTTTCTAAAGAGTATCAAAATTGTGATAAATCCTGTACCTTCAGTTACTATGGAGAGACACAACAGTGATGCTTACCTTTCCTGTCAAGAGTGTTATTTACAAAATCCAAGCTGATGTACACAAACTTGGCCCAGGGACTGGGGATAGAGAAAAAGTGTCTTGCTAATATATGCTGTTCTTCTAGCCTTCTCCTAGTAATCATTTTCTTCCATTTATTTAGCTCCTTATAGAAATATAACCCAAGGAGTGGTGAGCACAGGAGACAACAAATGGAAGTTGACGTGTCAGTCAGAAGGATACCCACAAGCTAAAGTGATATGGCAAAACAGAGAACATGAAGATTTGTCTGATAAGGCAAACACAAGTTATGAAACTGGAAGTGACCAGCTGTATCGTGTGACAAGCACCCTCACAATCAAAAGTAGAACCGATGAGATTTTTCACTGTATATTCTGGAATAAGGAGCTGCAAGAAAATACATCTGCCATTTTACACATAGCAGGTAACATTTCTAAATTTCATTTATGGTAACACATTTCAAGGTAGTATGTCATTTTGTCCCAGTTGAATCAGCCATGGTTTGTTGCTCTTTCCTATCTAATTTTTAAAAAGTCAAAAATAAATACCTGTGTTGCTGTTTTGCTATTAGTGTACATTTCCACCATCCTACCATGTTCATCATGCCTGGGTGGGTGGAATTCAAGGAGAGGAATTTTGCATGACCTATAGTTATGTGAAAATTGAGTCTGAGTGTTAAAAAATGTTCCATTATTTGAAAAGCATGTAGCTTGGAGCCTAGAAATGAAGCCCTCCTGTGTATATTGAACACACCTTCCCGGAATGTTCCGTTTTGCTGATAATAACTGTCCAGCTCAAACAATGTGATCTTTTCCTGCCACTACAGCCTTTGCTTTGAGCATACTTAAATTTAACAAATTGTGCACAGATTTTTTTTCTCGTAACGTCTGGACTGAAGGAAGATGCATGAATGGAGAAGACCAATACAATTTCTCATTAGACCTTTCAACTGGGCACTGCTCTTACTTTTGGTTACTCTTCCAATGTCTGCGTTGTACCCCGATATGTTTGCACAAGCTGTCAACCAGACTGGAAACCTGATCCCACCCAAAACCAGTATTTCTGTTTTTGAGACTGTTACTTGGTCAGGTCATTTCTCTCCTCCCGTTCACCACAGTTTAAAAATGCTTGCACTGGCACACTTTTTGGGGCTGACAACGGGTGGAAACAGGTAGCTGAGAGTGAGAAAGCCAAGTCATCCTTTCAACGAGTGGTGAGCAGTCAAGTTTGGCTTTAACAAGAAATGCCTCTGGGGTTCAAGGAAGCCACTTATCCTTTGTATTCAGAGCTTTACCAGATGAAAGGGACTCCCTGTTCTGTTTCTCCATCATCTCCTTCCTGTATCCCTGATGGGAAACTAAGCTAGACGTAACACTTTGTACCTTGGCGACGAGCAGGATTTGTGACAGAAATCAAGGGCACTGTTCACATGCCATGCCCGAAGCTAAGATAAACATGAGTATGTTCTGTCTTTTTTCCTTTATTGGGATGAGATATCCTGAAGAGCACCACCGGTACCCGGCTTTAGACACAACCTAAAATGCTGTCATCATGTCTGGACTACTCATAGCAAAAATAACATGGTGACAATGAAAGGAAAAGGGAGAAGCTTATGCAATTATGTAATATCTTTCCTGCACTTGTTTTTCTTGAAGATGCAGCTGATGATGCTCTGTGGACTGAGAGCAGACGCTTTATTGGAGCAATTCTCATTGTGACTGCTTCCTTTGGATCAGTGCTTCTATTTATGCTTTGCATGAGAAAAGGTATTAAAATTATTTATTTTAGTGTGTCTCAGTTATTATCAATCTGTTCTGTTGATTCATCTTCGTTGAGGTGGAATGAGATAATAAAAGTCTGCCTTAGATCTTTCGTCCTGAAATGACTAAAGTTTTTACCACACTGGTTATTTCTTTTTCTTTATCCGACTTAGATACTAGCCAGCTAAAAGAGTGGAACAGATTGTCAGCCCCTCACAAACCACTTACATGCATTTCTATTAATTAACTTATAGGTAATACGTAGAGCAGGAAGATTATTGCTAATCTGTTCAAATATCAAAGCACAGCTTATGCACTTACTGGAAATGGAAGTTTCCTGTTCCATGTCCACCCTTTTCGTTGGGGACTGGAATGCTGAGAGCAGACAGGACACTGGAATTTTTTTAGATTTTTTTTCCCCTGCATTGTCTGAAAAATTTCACTGAACTGTGAGCACGTTTTTTTTAAGCAACTAATTGTCATGAATTCTACATATATCTTTTTTCTGGTTAAAACACCAATAAAAACAGTTGACTACATATAAAGAGATATGTCCAAGCTTTTGACCCTGAAAGATTTTTTTTCACAAGAGGGAATATTCCCACTCTGGCTTCATATGATTTGATTGATTCCCTTGTTAAGTTTTGAGCTTTTTCAGTTCATTTCACTGATTTGAATTGGACATTTTCAGCATCACAGTGTGCTGAAGAGCTAAAGCATTGACAGTAATTTGTTTTCACTTGCTAGCTAACCAAAGAAAAAATTTGGAGAAATAATTTTTAGAGTATCTGAGCATGAAAAGAATATGGTTTGTCTCCAAATTAAAAAAAAAAAAACCAAAACACAACAAAACAACACGTGTTTGAAACGTGTTGCTTAGCCTGAAATAAGTACTGTTACATTTTTTTCCTTTGTTCAGTTGTTTGTGGATTTTTTTTCCTCAGAAGGAAGCTAAGTGTGTTTGAGGATTTTATATTCAGATATATTTTTTACTTTTCGTTTTAATGTATGCAATAAAGTCATGCAGATCTCAGAACAGCCATAGTGCTATTTGAAAATGTTGAAAGGAAAGTGTTTTTGCTGAACATTCTGGTTTTGGCCAGAGCTCTTTCTCTATATAAAAAATTTGTGGATTTTTGTAGGTGATGTGTAGCTACTTCTTTTTTTCTAAATAAATTTTTGGATATTTTTTTTGGTCAAGTTGTCTGCAGAGAAAAAATACAAAAGGCATTGAAGCTGATACAGTACTCTTAGCGTTATAATATCATACTGGCATGAGTCTGTACATTATTACCAGAAATGGTCCAAAATCCTGAACAAGATAGTTGACTAAATGCTCCTCTTGAAATTATTGAATTTTATAGGAGATGTAAATGTGTGTAGCTAGCATGAAATTCAGCTGGAACTAATGCAAAGGCTAGTTGTACTGTCTTTTCAAGTGGTATCTCAAAAACTTCCACGCTGAGAGGTGTGCTTTCTGAGACAGTATAGCAGAACTCTTGGTTTCCCTGTCTGCCAGCTCCCTTCTCCACAGTGAGAACCAGTAACAGCCCTAATTTCTGTCAGGAAATTACACAAAACTATCTATAAGCAAACTCTACAGCAAGCATTCATGTTCAAGTCCCATAAAACAAATACAGGACAGAACTAAATGTGGGTATTCAGTGTTTCGGTCACAAACTCATCTCCTACATCGGTGCTATGGAAACATGCCCTGGGAGAGGTATTCATAAGCTTAACAGGCTTGCAGGTGATGCTGACGGGCTGCTGAAGGCCTGTAGATAACCCCGCATCTATAAGAGTATGCTTGTCCGAAGGACGTGATAGGAATAGGAGCAGAACATGAAAGTGGAAGAAGGGACAGCAAAATCCTTGACTTCTCAGAAGATTCCCATCTGGGGATTTCAGTGAAGGTCAGAAGTTTCCTAGGTTGCTTGAGTAAAATTTATTGTTTGTGTGTATACATGATAATGTATATACATGTCATTATGTATGTGATTGTCATGATTATGTTACATATGTGCGTGCGTGTCATAAACTACGAGTTGAATCAGAAGCTGAAGTAGTAGCAGCAAGTTTTTCTTTTAAAACCCAAGCTGTCCTAGATGACCAGAAAAGTGATTCTTTCAGAACAGAACCTCCTTGGAATATGGGTTTTTTTCCCTCAAAAAGCACTGTGAAGGTGATTCCCTTCTTCTTCCCTAATATCTTCAAATTCTGGGTCAAATGTACAATGGAAAACCATTTGAACAGGTATTTTTCAGTGATGTTAGTGCATAATGTCAATGGAGTTCGGGCTCAGGAACGAGGAAAGGAAATTAGAAAGGAAACCGACAGGCTGAGGGCACTGAAGAATATATTTTATAGTCTTTGAAGAAGTGGATTGTTTTGGCAACCAATGATTACACTATGCCAAGTGTGCTCTTCCCACCAGTGTGCTTAAGTCCCCATTGGATCTAAAGTAGATATTTTGGGTTCCTTTTTTATTTTTCTCTCTTGTTTTCTTTCAGCTAGAGCCATTAAGGACAACAGAGCAACTGTGGCTAGTTCATCAATAGCAAGTATGTACATACAGCATAAATCCAGCTCAGTGCGATTCTCGTGGTCAGATAATTGCTTGAGAATTTACTTTGTAACTGTGACAACCAAATGCAGATTTATGTTCAACTTTCATTTCACTTTCTACTTTCCATGTGTGTAACAACTATAAGTTACAGTTGGAAGTGTCTTTTCATTACTATGTCAACTTCTTGAAAGGAAAACGTGAAAGAAAAGCATACTTCTTCCAGGAGCAAATGCAGTCTGGAAAGTCTTTGCTAGGATGAGACATGCTCCCTGGAGCATACACCTCGGGATGACAGCACATCCTGGTGTGCAGACTCTATGCTGTGATGTGAGCCATGTGGGCCTGATCCTGTGTTTCCTCCAGTATTACAGTGTGCATTTGAGGGTCTGTGTCACAATGTTGAGGACAGAGGGTTTGGCCCTGTTGAGAGAAATGCAGGAAGAAGCTTTAGCTTCCCTAACCGTTTCTTCTTCCTCCTGTTGAGATACTGATGCTATTGGCTATGGGCAAAGCTCAGTGAATGGCCAGTACAACCACGACGGTGAGAAACAGAGGAAAGAGGGGAAAAAGTTAATATTTACAGTGAGAGGGAAGAGATTAAAATCCTTTAGCCCCCTCTCATGGTTGTGTTTTGTTTTTTTTTTAATTTTTTGTATGGTTTTATTTGGAGACCACTTCCAATTAAGCTGCTGTGTGAAAGTTAGTTCATGCTGGCAGTTGGGGTTTTTCCTAAGAAAACCTCTCGTGAGAATACTTGCTCAAAACAGACACAGCATTTGGTATTGATCTCTTGTGCTGGTCTGTGTTGAAGTCATATTGTTCCTGGTTGACCCAAGACAGCAGCTTTTAACAGAGGTTTGTCACTATGTGAAATGTTCAAGCTACACTGACTGTTGTCTGTATGCATGCTGTTTGTTTAAAGAGCTGTCGAAAAATAAGGATACACATGACTGCAGAGGTGCTTCTTTCGAAGACGAAGAGCTGAAATGTAAGTATAAATGATAAAGGGAAAAATAGTAGCAAATTGCACACACAGCATAAATCTGTGGTCATCAGAGCCTTATTTCATGGCTGGTTTATTTAGTCCCTCATTTCAACAAACAGAGCCTTTCCAAGAGCAGTGCAGCCTCCTGTTCTCTGCCTTGCAAACTCGCCATCATAATTCTTTGTGTACTGGGAGTTGTATCAAATGATTAATCTGGTTTTAAAAATAAAAAGAGAAACCATGTGAAGGAAAATGTGATGTGGAGATAGTAACAACTCAAACTGGTGTTTTCTCTAGCTCACACTTTTGCTACAGAAGCAGTTGTGCCAGCACAACTGAAGGAGTGGTGATGGCAATGGGGAGGGAGAACTTAACCCATGGTGCCCACTCAAGTGACTCTCAAGCTGTGAGATTCTGTGTCAGCAAAGCACAAAAATAAATGACCGAATCTCTGAAATCTCTGAAACGTGCTGTGGTATGGAGTGGTAGTGTGAAGTTATTTTTTCACATTTTTGCTGACTTTTTAAAGCATTTATATTAATGACGTCCCAGATCCCTCCCTGCTGCATTTTACTGGTGTAAACACAAGCAAAAGTAGGGCTGCTGGTCCTGCAGGCATAGATCTCCAAGTCAGAGAGTTAGGGCCTGGGGATGTGCCGCTGGGCATGCCGACAGATAGAGACCTGAATGTATCTGGAAGACTTTAAAAGAAGATTTTAAAAGAACAGAGGACCTAAGTCACAACAATTTCACTGTATTTCCTAAAGAGCACTTCCCACTAGTGTATTTGAAACACCGCTTTATTTCCTCCCCAGATCATCATCTTTTTCTATTTGACCTTTGAATTAATTTCGTTGTAGATATTTAACTTTGACAATGAAGGGGTTTTTCTTGGTACCTGCAAACTCTAGGAAAGAGTCTCAAAGCTGTGAAACGTTCTGTGACTCATCATTTTGCAATTTGATAATTTGTTCATGTAATTCTTCCTTTTACAGATATGCAAATTGAGAAGACCTAGAGAAAACAGAGGAAGCTTTTTTCCTCTGTGGTGAAGGTTTGACAGCTCAGATGTTCTGTGTTCTGTCTATTAAGGGGGATATTATGGCAATCTTCTTCCATATCATTGTATCTCAGGAAAAACTGCAATGAAGTTAATAGAATTATTATAGCATAAAAATTCCTTGGATTCAGGCTTCTGTATATGTGAGAAGGTATGGAGGTATTTATTTAAATATCCAGGTTTCTGCTTTCCGGAGCTTATGAGCTTTCAAAACCACATTTCATTAAAAATATCTTTAAGGTAAAGCACTTTAGGTCTGTGACCATCATGAATTTCATAGCTAGTTCTTGAATAGGCCATCTTCTGGCAGTGCTTTTTTTCTCCCCCTCCTTTCCTCTGGGCTCTCAGCTCCCTGCAGAGATTTCATTTTCCAGCTTTTGAAGACTTTTTCCAATACTTTGATCCTCATAAAAGATAAGGGTGCAACGAGACAAGATGCCATACAGACAGAGCATTTTCCGTCCTTACTGTAGATCTTAAAATACCAGATATTCATGGCTAAGCCTGAAATAGATGCTGTAACCCTCTTGGCAACTATGGCTTGGAGATTATTAGATAATACTGAGCTTCTTGATCTCTTTCTCTGAAAAGTGTTTTGGGGATTTAATTTTCTTGTGATGTAGCTGGCACTATTTGGTTACTGCTCGTTATTCTGCTGATTTACCATTTGGAGATAATGCAACTCTTCGGACATTCAAGAAGAACAGCTCTTGATTTGAACTGCCTTTTTGTTCATCTCAGGAATAGAAGAAAGAGAACAGTCTCACTTCTAGGACATGAAATACATGCTTATGTGATCACTGAAGAAATGCTGAGGGAATATGCTGCTGGATCCCACTTCTTAAGCTATTGCTTTGTTGCATTTTGCTAGATGCATAGCCTTTTTTGTGGGTCATACACAGATGAAAAATATTTATTACAATGCTATTCACAATTCTATTTTTTTTAATAAAAAGTTTTGTTTTCCTTGTGATTTTCCTGCTCTTTTTGACTTGTCTATAAGTAGCACTAGCACTAGTGTTTTTTTCTGGGAAAATCAGATATCTAAGATTTGGGTGTAGAATAGTGTCTACACCCATGTCATCCCTCTAATGGCTCCCACAAAGAAGATCTGAATGGAGATCTCCACATCTCCGCAATGGAGATCTGAAATCTCAATGGACTCAGGTTTTAGTTTTCAGTTTGAAATAAATGAGTCTGTTGCACAGTCCTAAGGATGTGAATGCAGCCCTCAGCCCAGGGCTTCACTGCTGGCAACATTCAATCTAGCTGATGTAAAGTCGTGTTTTAATACACCTTAGCAAGCTGCTCTCTATAGTCGGATAGAGAAATGCGCCTCGTGACCGTAATGGCGTTGGTAGACCTCAGTTAAGTAAAATAATTACTACAAAGTGATTTCCCTAATTCATTACAGAACTTTCATATTCTGATACTGATTCCTGCCATTTGATTCTTCAGGGATGCTATGTGAATGTGAACATCCCTTCCTACTCCCCAACATGCTTTTTGAGGCCACAGTCTAGGCGCCACTGAAGGTGATGACCAATTTTTTATTATCCCCAGAGTGCAAGAATGGCTTTGGAAATATTAGGGCTATTGGTAGAAAAAGCACTGAGTCTCCTCAACGCAGAAATGTAGTTTCATATCACCACATAAATAATTCCCCTTCCCGACAACCTCTTGATTTTCTACTTCCTCTTTGAGACTGCAACAGCTGTTTGCATACTGAAGTAAAAGTGAAAAGCCTACTCCTTTTAGTTACTGTCAACGTTTGCAAGGCAGCACTATTAGTGCACGCGTAGTATCATGGAACTGAAGTCCATGTCTTTGTCAAGCTCCACCGGACAGCAGGAACTTACATTTGTCTTTTCCCAGCAGGAGAAAAGGTAAGTTACTGTTGACAGTGCAGCATGTCAGATGAGTGAGACAATGAAATGAGGGGCTATAAATATATTTTTAGATTCTGTACCTGGATGCTACTGTTCAAAATACCTGTGCTCAAATTCCTGAGTGGTTGATAGGAAGCTTGAAATTTTGCCACTTCATTAGAAAATAGGAAGTATGGTGGATAACAGACAATGTGAAAAGACCTGTCCTCTCTGAAGAAGCTCTGCTTTATATTTCTCTGACATCCAAACCAGAACTTGTCTAATCTAAGGTTAGTCATTTTACAAATCAGGCTTTTGGAATAAGCTAAGTCTCTCTCTCTGCTTCACTTTCATAAATACAGGGAGATAGTACCCCATGCTCAGCCCCCAATGCCATGAGTTGCTTCGGCACAATTACTTCCCAGTGTGACAGAGGAAGAATCACACTTATCTGAAAATACAACACATTTAGGTTACAAGAACTAGGCGAGAGGAAATCCTTCCAATCCTAACATAAAAAATGTAGTTAGATGCCATATTTGTAATAATCTTTTTTCCTTCACTTAACAGTTTGTGCATGCTACTTCAGTGGTTTCGGATATCTGGAAACGGATATAACTGGAGTGCTACCATGGATGGCTACAAGCTCTTCAGGAGGGATAGGAGAGGTAGAAGGGGTGGTGGGGTTGCCCTGTATGTAAGGGAAGATCTAAACTGTTTAGAGTTAAATGTTGGGGATGACTTAGTAGAATGTCTGTGGGTGAAAATCAAAGAGGGGCCTATGAAGGCGGATATTGTAGTGGGAATCTGCTACAGGCCACCCTGTCAGGACAGTGAGACTGATGAGCTATTCTTTAAACAACTGGGGGAAGTCTCGCGCTCGCTAGCCCTTGTCCTTATGGGTGACTTTAACCTGCCTGATGTCTGTTGGAAGTATAACATGGCAGTCAGGAAACAGTCTAGGCGGTTCCTGCAGAGTGTGGAGGACAACTTCCTATCACAACTGGTCAGTGAACCGACTAGAGAAGGAGCTCCCCTAGACCTGCTGTTTGTGAGCAGAGAGGGTCTTGTGGGAGATGTGAAGGTT